TGCCATACATGGCATTCCATGAGAAGAGCCAGGAGAGCCAGCCTTCCCAGGAGAGCACCAATGTGGACTGGCCTCTTCTGCTTCCGCTTGGGCCCATGTTGTTCCTCGGCAGCCTTGTTGCAGGCTCAGGTACCTCTTTGTGCTGATGATGGTCTTTGTGGCTCTGTTCCTATGTGTTTCACACTGAACCCAGGCACCAGACTCACTGTTTCAGTTCCTGTAGCTGTCCGCAGGTGTGTGGTTTGTGCAGGACATGGTGCAGATGCTCCAAGCTCACATCTGCACTGTGTGCAGGTGTAAAAGCAGTGTCTGCATGGAGGGCAGGTTAACCATCAGCATGGGAGCTACAACTTGGGATTTACAGCTTAGCTGGGACCATGTGTGCAGCTTTGCTTGTCACTGGTGTCTCCCTGAGCACCTCACCAATTTGCATCATTGTAATGAGTGGTCTTCGGGCTGCCACAAATAATGGTGGTCATGATGTGAAGGTGGGTGAGCCAGGTGAAGAATTGACATGCCGTGGTGTCTCAGTGTCCGCTGAAGGTCCCTGAGATAAAAGGAGACTTGGGATGGCTGGATTCCTCGGTCTGTTTAGCCCCAACACAAATGCGAAGGAGACTCTGCTAGGGAATGAGTCCATGGGATATATGAGTTTCCTGGCACTTCCCATCCTCAAAGTTATTAAGTGAAAGCTCTTCTGGCTTCTGGCATTTATCTGTTTGGAAGAAGGATGCTCAAATGCTGTCTAATCCCAGATCTAACCAGGGACACACAGTGGAGAGGAATGCTCCTGTGAGGATTGGCTGAGGGAACTGGGGTTGTTTAGTCTGGAGAAGAGGAGGCTGAGGGGAGACCTGATCGCTCTCTACAACGACCTGAAAGGAGGTTGTAGTGAGGTAGGGGTCGGTCTCTTCTCCCAAGTAACAAGTGATAGGACAAGAGGAAATGGCCTCAAGTTGTGCCAGGGGAGGTTTAGATTGGATATTAGGAAAAATTTCTTCACGGAAAGGGTAGTCAAGCATTGGAACAGGCTGCCCAGGGAAGTGGTTGAGTCCCCATCCCTGGAGATATTTAAAAGATGTAGATGTGGTGCTAAGGGACATGGTTTAGTGGTGAACTTGGCAGTGCTAGTTTTATGGTTGGACTCAATGACTGACCTTAAAGGTCTTTTCCAACCTAAACGATTCTATGATTCTATGAAAACCCCAAGTTTGCCCTCTTTCAGGATCATCAGAAGTAGAGATACTTTGAGGAAACAGTTTTAAGGACTTTCCAGATCTTTTCTGTGGTTAATTGCCTTCTTTCCTCTACAGCTTATTTTATTTCTCATTTCCTTTGAGCTGATGTCACACATTTCCTCTTCTCTAGTGACTCTGCAGTCATGCTGCAGTTGCTCCCATTCTGGTGTCCCGTTCTTGAGAGCTGCCTGTGTGGAGACCTTCCAGCCCCAGGTCAGAGAAAATAACACTCAGAAGAAGACTGAGCATCCTCAGTAAAACACCCATCACTGCTCTACTAAAGCTGAAGATGGACGTATCGTGCTGAATCCTTTCAACTGTGGTAAGCAGAAAATATACTTTATTAGTACTATTCCTCTTGGAATATACTTTTGCTGATGGCATAGCTTGTGATAGCATGGTCTTTGCACCTTGCAGCCATGAGCCAGTAAATCCTTATTGGGAGAGCATGGCCCACGGGAGAGAGTGTAGACTGGGAGCAGAGTCTGCAGTTGCTTTGGCCATGCTCTGCCCATTACTTCCACCTCTAATTTTGCATACAATGGAGTTGATGATATAAACCACTTGGGATTATTGGCTGGTGTACTAGTGTACAAGGTAGCGGCTTGGGCGAGTTGCCAGGGATTTTGGTAATGCAGTGCAGCCTGCTGCAGCAGAGAACAGGACCCACACCTGCCAGCCCACACCCTGACCACTGCGCCTGTTCTCCCTTCTGCTGGCACAGACAATATTTACTTGTTTTATACAAAGGGGAACCACTTCAACAGGAGAGGCTGAGTGAGATCCCCCATAAGGTACTCCAGACTCTAGGACTTAGGACATCTCACAAGTATATGGGAGATGTGAGCTCGAGTTCCTCAGGCTGAAGAGGAAAGTGGGTATTGAGTAAATTTAGTGGGGAGTGGTGCCATGCTCTCTTCTAGCTGTGTTTTGTAGAGTATCTGGCTTGACAAGCGAGAAGGCAAAAGCAACTCTTGTGATTCCCTGAAGGACCTTGGCATTGGCACTGCACAGCCTACTAATGCAAATACAGATGAGCTCTACCAAGTGCTTTTGGGGCCAGGGCATGGCTCTGCCATCTCCCACAGCCCACCTTTGCCAGAGATTTCTAGCAGACAACAACGTAGAGCATACCCTTGCATTTATCTCCAGGTCAGAGCGCAGCCGTCTTCTGTGCAGGGCTTTGCAGTGGAGGGGGATGTGCAGGTTCACTCTCCCTTCCACCCCATCTGCTAAATCTGGCAGCTGATGGGCAGGCCTGGAGACCCCACCAGTAAAGTTCAGCAGAGCTCCTGGGCAATGTTTGTAGGCTGCCATGCCCATGTACAGCACCAGCAATGGTGGGGTAGATGGACAGTGCCCCGCAGCACAGCCTCACCCCTTCCCTGAATGTCTGCATCTGCTAGGTGCCCTCGTGAGCTGTGAGATGCAAGCCCTTCCAGCTGGCGTATGTCCTTACCAGAGATGGTCCCTCAGTTGGTGGGAGAGCTGGGCTTGGACACGGACATTTATTTAAGGCCGTGTTGTGACAATTACCACTTTTCATATATAGATGAGGGTGTGGAAACAGATCCATGAGATGACCAGTAGGACTTGCCTTGGGTCCTGCATGAATCAAAGGCAGAACAGGGAACAGAGCGTGGGCCCCTGCCCACTCTGGGACCTCTCTGCAGACCTCTGTGGCCAGACCCCGAGGTGTCATAGCCCAGACCATCCTCACCTCCTGGCGACCACCACCTGAATCAGCCATTACCCTTTAGAGATCAGTGGGTTCTCAGCAGAGTGGCAGAGATCAAGGTGAAAGAGGACAGATACATGTGTCACCTGGCCAACTACTAGTACTGCCACAGCTACTTGTTAATTCACATGGAACATGGCTGAAAGATTGAGTTTAAAGATACTCAAACCCCCGTGCTGCCCACCACGTAGCAGCCTATGAAGGTCCAAGGACAAGTTGTGGATATCTATAGTTGTCATGTCCTTAGGGGACCTGGGAGGGGTGAGGATGGACAGGGTCCAGAAGATGACTATTGCCTTCCTCTCCTAACAACTGGGAAGAAGTACCACGGGGTTTGCAGAATTTTCTGAAGAAAGGGAGAGCTTGTGTGAGCTACAGCTGACTTCCCCATTTGCAGAGGAAAATTGCAAATGTGTGGATGAGGAACCAACAGCACATGGGCACAAAGAGAGACTCAACCCAGAGAGGGTGAGATGGAGGTTCATGCCACTATCTGCTGCTGGGGAAGATCCAGAAAGTTTCAAGGCAGGAGGGTGCCTTCTCAGGAGGCAGCAGTCTTTGGGGGAAAATGCTTGTTGTCCGTGGGGCTGGCAGATCAGAGGCAAGCACATTACAATGTGCAGCACCCGGCATTCCCATCATAACTCACACAAGAAGTTTAGGCTTCATGACTGGTGGTACAGTTTACTCACTCTCAAGGAAAACCACCATGTTCTGCAAATTAGGTTAAAAACCCAGCAAGTTTACCATCAGCGAGCAACCTAATGTCTTTGCCGGTGGCTCTCAAACTGCTTTACCTGTGTTAGTCACTTATCTTCCCATGAAGGAAGAGGGAGAGAAAACCAAGCAGATCTGCAGGACTGTGTCACGGAGAGGTGAGTGCCTGCCCAGAGTCAGACGGGGAGCTGGCACCACAGCCAAGAACAGGTGTGTACGTCCTCTGGATGGTAAAAGTAGCAGGTTAAAGTATACAAGGGATTAGACCAAATCCATGTAAATCTGAGACAAGAACACATGCAGTATTGATGATGCAGGAATTTGGTATGTCCAAACTGTAGGCAAGATCTGAAGAAATACTAACTGAGGTGGGGATTGGTAACATTAAAAACCTGAGGGTATCTCTTTAGGGACAGTGTTTGTCAGCAGCCTCACCAGCGACACAGGAAAATACAGAATTGCTGCTGCGGACACTTGCATTTGATGCAGAAATGGTAGGGGGGAAAGAAACCAGGGAGCCAGATTGGTTTGACAACAACGTGAATTAAAAATGATGGCACTATAGATGACAGCCAGGATTTTAAGAGAGATGAACTGTAGTTAAAATCAACAATGCACCACAAAACATCACCCTGCAGGATTAGTGACTCATCTTTTACATCATTCACTGAGTAAAAAAATTGAGAGCCTATAAAGTGAATGTGAGATCCTACAACTAAGAAAACAAATACAATCTTTACAACTGTAAGAAGGAAAATGTCGGAAAACAAGTAGAGGGCAACTCCGGAAATGGCACTAGTAGATAGTAGATATTTTTAGTAGATATTGTTTCCTTTCTGGAATTTCTACGTAAAAATAAATGTAGGCAAGTTAGAAAGCATTAGGAACCACAGGAGGAAAAACAGAGACCCAGAAAACCTGTTTGCTTGTAGTAAAAGATTAAGAAGCTTGAGACAGTACAGAGTAACAGATAATTTTATCTAAGAACCCTCAAGCAGAAAAGGCTTTTGAGATTAGAGATTAGCTCAGATCTGCACTGCAGCAAACAACCCTGGATGAAGACACAAAGGCTTAGTATGGTGTGGAAATGGTATCAAAGAGAGGACCAAGGGGACAGGGCAGATGTCTGTGGCTGGAGCCGAGGCATGAAGCAGAACTCCTGTGGTTACAGACAGCTGAAAATGAAAGGTGGGTTTTGGCTTAGCAATGGTACCACACCAATCAGCTCATTTTATGCTTTGTATTTTTAGGTAAGAAGAAAAGCTACGGCAGGAAATTCTGCTTCAGGTGTCCCACTCAGCACCACGATGTCTGGAAAGGGTAAAGGTGGTGCTGAAGGTAGTGCTGACATTCAATGCTACATAGACTCTGAGTTTCGCTACAGCCTCTTCACTGTTTTCTACAGCATCATTTTCATTCTGGGCTTTGTTGCCAACTGCTACGTGCTCTGGATTTTCAGCCGTATTTACCCCACCAAGAAACTCAACGAAATCAAGATATTCATGATGAACCTGACAGTAGCTGACCTGCTCTTCTTGGTTACGATGCCAATGTGGATTGTTTACTATCACCACCATGGAGACTGGATCATGCCTGAGTTCCTCTGTAATGTGGCTGGCTGTTTATTTTTCGTTAACACCTACTCTTCTGTTGCCTTCCTGATGGTCATCACATACAACCGTTACCAAGCCGTGACTAATCCCATTAAAGCTGCTCAGCTTACCACCCAGAGAAGGGGTATCTACTTATCAGCAGCTATCTGGATCATAATAGCGGGCAGCTCTTTGTATTACCTTTTTGACAATAATACTAATCAGGAGGTGACGCATTCGAAGAATTTCACGCGGTGCTTTGAGCGCTATGACTCTTCTGGCAGTGTTTCAGCTGTTCTCGCCATTCATGTCATCATCTGCATCCTCTTCTATATCATTTTCTTTTTTATACTAGGCTGGAACATCATCATCATCAGGACCCTCTTCTCCAAATCAGTGCAGTCACAGAAGAGTGCTCATGTCAAGCAAAGGGCACTCTGGATGGTTTGCACAGTGCTGGCTGTGTTCATCATAAGTTTTGTACCTCATCACATAGTGCACCTGCCCTGGACCCTGACTGTTCTGGAGCAGTGGCAGAGAGAAAACTGTCAGTTGCGCCAACAACTCAATGATGCTCACCAGGTGACTTTGTGCCTCTTGAGTATGAACTGTGTGTTGGACCCAATCATCTACTGCTTCCTCACCAAGAAGTTCCAGAAGCATCTTTCAGAAAACCTGAAAAGCATGAAAGGGAGTCGCAAGTGCTCCAGGCAAACCACTGACACGGTGATTGAGGGCATCATTCACCAAGAGGATGCCATCAGGATCTAGGTCAGCTCTGTTCTGATTGAAGACTGAGATGCATGAATTAGTCACTCATCTTTTCTCAAGAAGAGGCGCTGAGGAACACAACAGAGAACCAAGACATTAAATTTCCTTTTTCCCATTAGAAAGAAGAATGGACGCTCATTTGTTCTATCACACGCAACTGGCAGAACTGGAGGCGGTAATGATCTGGCAGAAAAGCACCTTCTGTCTGGGCTGATGTCCTCATGGGCACTGAGAACAGCTCAGACGATCTGCTTTTACATGAAAGAAATGTGTCATTGAGTCTCTGCAGTGAGCAGCTAGAAGCTAAGTGCGCTGAAGTTACCCATTATGTCAGCCCAAATAGCACCATCCCTGGTCCTTTGCCTGCCCAGCTCCACGAAGAATCCAGTATCAGAACTGTAAGAGACTTCTAAAAGACACAGAACAACAGATTGAGTTGCTAGCATCAAGTGGCTTTTCTGAGAAGCTTGCATGGTTCTGTGAAGAGAGTCTGAGCTGAAAAAACCCTTGAGTGGCTAGAAGGGATGCAGTCCAGGGAGTTCCTTAAATGCCATCAAAGAAGAGATCTGCACCTCTAATCCCTTCTCAGCTACTCGCACAGTCTGCTGGGGTCCATACTTGACACATGTCTGGGAGTAGCTATTACGAACGTTTGCCTTTGCTCCCAGCTCTTGAATCAGTCAAGTAACTGGACTAGTAGGCAAGAAAAGGAAGAGAAATTGCCAGTGCCTCAGCCCCCATCCCCAGATCAGCATTATGTCCAAACAGGACTATTGTCTGCCCTGGCTTCTTGTATGATAGCAGAACTGGCAAACCAGTGGTCTCTTGCACTCAGTATAGCAATTTTTGGCTGACTGCATGTGTCTGTGGAGATCCAATCTCACTTTGGAGGCTCCACATAACAGAAGATTATTGTCAGCACGGGCATTACAATAATACGACGAAAAGCTTAAACCGCTTCAGTATCTTTGTTCTTATTTATTTAAATTAGGGTTGTAGCAAGGAACTGTACATTATTCCTTCCCCCAGCCTTTCTATTTCTGCTACTAAGAAATGAAGCTGACTAGTTCCTGATATCCTACCACACGTGAAGTGTCAAGTCATGGCTACTTTCTGAGTAAATCAGTGCTGCAGTGATACAGTACACTTAACAGACATGTAATTCACGTGCTCCAACAAGATTGGAGACTCCTCACTCAGGGCTGGCTGCAGTCAGTTGGGGCCCAGGGCAAAGCGATTTTCCAGGGGTGCTGAGTTCTGTTACAAATCATGAGACACTTGAGGTTCCTTTTCTGACCCAAATTGCTCAATCCAGCACAGGAAATTGGGCAGGGAAGGGAACTTACTTGTTTTCACAACAGTTTTTTGTTCCCTAAACTACATAGAGTCTGGCTGATGATAGGAATAGTGTATCTGACCTGTGACACTGATTATTCATATGCAAGGACAGCAGCCTTCGTACACCCACCAGAGAATGTGAAATATAAGCTCAAGTCTTTCCAAAGATGAGACCAATATTTGTATCAGACTTTGCCTATATTCAGTGGAGATACAGGTCCTTCAGATGTATCTCCTGAAGATCCTCAGGCAGCTTTTATGCTTACTTGTGTGAATGAGCAAAAGAACTAAGATGTTTCTTCTTCTAACACCATCTGCCAGGGCCAGCCATGCACTCCAGGCCCAGTGCCAGGCAAAGGAAAGAATCTGATCACAATGTGAATGCATTTTCCTCCTGGTCCTGGACTCTGCTTCAGTGATGGCCACTCATAAAAAACCCTGCTGGCACCTCTTAGCAGAGAGGTAATTCCCTGACTACGTCCCTCAGCCCTGAATCTGCAGCCATCCGAGCCACAGCACACAGCAAGGGGGGTGATTTCTGTAATTTAAAAGCCTAAATCCCGCTTGCTGGAGGAATCTGCCTCTGTCCTCCCCAGATGGCACTTTCTGGCAGCTGACAGATGGGACAGAGCTTTCCTCTTCTCCCCTTGCCACCCGATGTGATAGCGGAGCTGTCTGGCTTCACAGCTCCTAAAGCACTGAGCAGACGGAGTTTGGCAACTCTTAGAGGAAATGGAAAGGGATTTTACATGGACATCTGGTAAAAGTGTGATCTTCTATTGATTCCTAGAAAGCATGCAAGAGAGTTTACAGTTGAGGCTACTTACTGTGGGTAAATAACATGCTTTACTCCACAGAAAAGAGCTGTAAGGCCAGTGTGGGCTCAGAGAACAAATATAAACTTGCATCTGAGGAAAAGGGTAAGTGGAGGAAAAAGCCCTGAGGACACTTCAAGGAAGGTGTATTGCAGTCTTTAAGTCAGTAACAATGTGTTCCTAAAAACCTGTCTGAGCTTCTACTTCTGTTCCTGGAATTACTTTCTCCGTTTTAGCACAATGTTGCATTACTCTGCTTTACTTTGCAATAAAATGGATCTTTTTAAAAAAAGTTCTTTTAAATAAAGGGTGTTCCCCAAGTGTTTTGCCCTTTAACTTCTCCCACCTTCTCATCTTTCTGTATTTATACTCCAGCAAAGAGCCTCGGTACCGCGCTGACACAGCTTGATTTCTGTGTTGTGTTACTTTTTTTTAAAATCACCGAGGGAACTCCTGGGAGAGGTGAAATCAAAGGCTCAGCAAGTTTCGACCTGCTAAGAGGGAAGGGGAAAGCAGTAATTTCAGAAAAGAAACAACTTCTGCAAAATCCGCTAGAGCTCTCCAAAACCTAACCCGGCAAAAACCCCCGACCTCTCTGACCCGCACCCAAAGGAAATTTTCTACCGGCGCCCCGTCACGCGGCTCTGACGCCCCGGCCGCCAAGCGACAAGCTGCTTCAAATAACTCGCGTCGCAACACTTCGAGCAGTAGGAGGGCAGGCCAGAGGGACGGCCCTGTCAATGTAACGAAACCAAACCCCAAAGCACAGCGGC